CGCATTTGTTGATGGATGAATCTCATTAATAATCGTAAGCGATGGAAAAGAGCCATTCATTTATGTCGTCGTCGTCATCGTCATCAAAATGAACATTTTTATATGTGTACCGACATCAATTTTTTTTATGACATACGGCCAATTTTTTGCTTTAAGTACTTCCGCTACGTAATGAAGTGCAAGAAATTAACTGTGATTTTTTTGGGGGCGACGCACGAATCAACTTCGCGATAACGAACAGTAGAAGAAGAAGGGAAAATAACTTTATCAGAGAGAATAAAAGGCATTTCATGTGCGACAGTTCAAGTTGTGCGACTCGCATTGCCAGCGGACAAAACTTCACAGACTCATTCACACCAAATTAACCAACTTTTCAAAGTGCTCTGACATCACCGAGCAAACGGATTATATCGAAACGCACCCGCCTACCGAAATATGGCAAAACCCAAGTGCAATTGCTCTGATAGAAACGATTAATTAAAATCATAATTTGATTTTTACGATACGAAATGTCAGAGCGGCAAGGTCTTGAGTAAATCAACGTTTTCCGGAGCAACGACGAAAATCCATCGCTGCAAACACACATACATATACACACGAACTTCTACTGCTACAGTCAAGGTAAATCGATCAGCCAAACTGACGGCAAGAATTTTAATAAATTTTCAACGGAATTCGAACTGCCTTGACATTGTATACCATTCCCATTTGTTACACGTCAGTCTCGTTGTGTTCTTTTTGCATGAAGTACCTGGGAAACGACTGCACCAGTTAGCAGTTGGAAAAAGTTTTTCATATCATTTTCACTGTGGAATACGGTCGATGGGTAGAGAGCGTTTGTTTTCAATGCATTGACTTTTACTTTATTAAATGGTATTTCTCTGCGTTTTTTATGATGCGATTGAACGAACGACTGGAAACGAAGAAGTTTGTTGCATCAAAATTCGATGGGTGAGATTGAGAGTGGAGTATGTTTCTTCTTCGATTTATATTTTTGAAAAGGCGAGTATGTTTTCTGATGATTCTGTTGGCGTTAAAGTAGAGTATGTTGGCGTTAAAGTAGAGTATGTTGGCGTACCGTCTAGCCTCCATGGTTTTCACGGTTAAACTGATAAGAGATAAGTGATAATTGTTTTCAGCTAAGCTATAGAAGACCCCGAGTACTACAACTTTTTGGAAGAGATCAAGTTGTTATCTCTTATCAGTTCCACGAAAATCGCAAAAAACCGTGACGACCCGCCAAAAATGAACATACTCGCCTTTAACCATCTTTTAAGTCGAAAGAAACTTACACTTCTCTTTCAAATAAAAGCGTGACAAACAGTTTAAAACAGTTGAATGAGTCAAAATCACTGTGTTGCTTGCACTTTTCATTTTCCTAAAACGATGAACCGGGTAAAGTGAGCCATAAACTTTGAATGCAGTATTAACAATATCAACAATATGTGGTATTCCATTATCGTTGACGATAAATTTTGCCAGACATAAAGAAAAAAAAATGAATGCCAGTATGGAGCCAAGCCGGCATTGAATCCAATTTTTATAAGACACAAATGGCTTAAATCGTTTGCCGATAATATAAAGCGCACCAATAAAATGGAGAGAGAAGGAGAGAGGGAGAAAGGGCAAGAGAATCGATATGCCGAAAGTAATCGCATGGAAGAAAATTAAACATTCACTTTTCAATGAAACTAAACGCTTGCGTTGCTGCATGATATCTTCGAAGTAGAAGAAGAAAGAGACCGAAACGACAATAATAAGTTCGGAATCGGGCGGTAAATGGTGTAACGGTGACCATTTGACTTAACCGCAGACTGTAAAGTAAACATTAACGCTCCATATGTGTCCAATACCGAATTGGAATTTTTATGTGCGATCAGAGACTGGGCAAAAGCGCCATCGAATGCAAAAACCATCCTGTCGCATTTGATCAGAAAATAAATAAAGAGAGAGAGAGAGAGAAAGAGGAGAGTTTTTTCATCCGTTTTTCGGTTTGGGGTGAGAAAAATGGCAGACAAACTCACAAGACTTGGACAGCTAATACCTATAAGTGTGAAGTCAACGTTTGGCCGGCAGCCAATCCATGTGACCGAATAAATAACTGAAACAGCTGAAATGTATACATAAAAATATTTTTTACGACTTTTGCCGCATGCTTTCATTGCCCACAATTTAATGTGATAAAAAAATATTTTCAGCTTTTTTCAATCGCAATTTGAATTGCACCAACGGCACTTTTCTCTCTCTATTTCACTCTTCTTCTCTTTGGCTCTTTTTCGCACTCTCGCACTCTCGCTCTTTTGTCTCTCTCTTCCACGACCGCAATATTATTGATTCATTGCTGCGATTGGGTCAGTTTATTTTTATCGTTATTTGTGCGAGTTCTTTTTTTCTGTTCAGTTCATGTCTGTTTTTTGTCTGCTTCTCCTAGCTGGTTGCAATCGGGGTGCTCAGACACCATTCGCTGCAACTGTCCACGAAGAGCTTTAGGTGTGAATGTGAGAAGGTTTTAAAATGCCAATGGAATCTAATGGGGCAATTTTGTGGTTGAAATCCACGAAAATTTACGGATGTGTCCCATGGTCATGTTGGTGATTTATTTGTTCATGCGTCCATTTTAAAAGTCGTAATGTTGCGTCGAATGATGTGATTCAAGCGAATGACCCAATATATCACCATCTGATTCATAATAGCAGAAAAAATCCGAATTACCTTGCAAAATGGTGCATTCAAGAAGTTTGAACCAAAAATTAGACTCATTACTCATTCGAAGGTTGGGGTGCGCTCCACATAAAAATGTTTGTATTTGACTTTTATAGCAATACATAATTCGCTTTTTTTTATAAGAAAACAATAATAACTTCAACTATTTAAAATTTGCATTGAATGCCCTCTGAATATAGCAAACTATTACTATGAAGATTGAGAAAAAAAGGAACACTACATGGGAAATAATAAATAGTTTGGTAAAATACTGACCTTGCAACTGAAGCAATGTGTGCAAAATAGCAACGAGACACGCGACCAATGCTATAATTGCCATAATTTCGTTGTTTACTAATTGCTTGCGACGTTGTGATAATCGATGGTTTCGTTTTAACCGTTGCCGTTGTCGTCATACAGCCAAATACCACTCAGCCTGCATACGCGACGCTACTCCAATGGATATATATATATTTGATATTCCTCTCCGTCCACTGCACACATACACAAACACACTGGCTGTGTTGTCCTGTTTTCACTGGTGGCTTTGGTCGTTGTCGTGCGTCGGTGTGCAATGATACATTTTTATGCAGAATACATTTCGTTTTTTCATGATTTCACTCGTAAAACTGTGCATTTGTGTGCAACATTTATGCTCGTAATCTTTCAGTGAATAATATTGTGATTTTACACTTCAACTCTCTCTTGTTATTTACACCGGGTCGAAACTTTATGCCAATTTTTTTAATACCAATTAAATTTTTCTCCTGTTTCGTTTGTTACTTGAGTTTATTTCCAACAGTTCAAATGAAAAGTGGTGCTTCATAAAACATGTGTCCAGGTGAGTATATTTTTCCGTTGTTGCTTGCTTCACAACATCATCATTCCTTCGATCCCATTCATTCAAACTGTTTTTTTCCACGAATTTGCACAATCACCCGATCCGCTAATTCGCCTGCTCGCTGAAACGAAACAAGAAATGGAAACTATTGAGTATGCAGTTTTTTATGTGTGGTGTGTATTTCAACATAGGGGTTGTGATTTTCATTTTATTTAAATTTCAATTTTCGCTCAATTAATTGTCCATTATTTGCCAGTGTTTTTTACTGTTTATTCTTTCAATTCTGTACACATTACACGCTTGGACAGGAGAGAAAGAGTGAAAAAAAAACAGTTTTTTTTTCCATGCATTTCACGCTTTTGTTTGCAGATAAAGTTTTCCCCTAATTAAAATGTAATTGAAGCAGCGCATAAAACATTCCGTTTTTTCTGCCTTTCTCTCGCTGTCTCTTTTCCCATATCGAAAATCAAACAAACGGATTAACAAACGGTCATTAAGAGGAATGAACACGGAAAATGTGATGGAAATAAAATGTTATGCAAGTGCGTTTATCCGCTCGAAATGCGGAAGGAGCCAAATTTGAGAGAGAGGCTGTCTGCGTTTTTTTCTCTCGTTACAACATGCCGACGAAATAAAAAAATAGGTATGAATTGCATAGTTATAGGGTTCATTGGACTGAATATAATAAAAGTAAAACATGTGCAATAACAATACATAAAAAAGCAATTCATAAATTTCGAAGTTCTAAACGCTCTCCCGCCATGAAATAACTCCATGACTATTAGTTTGGCGAGTAGAAGAAAGAGCGGAACAAACACAGAGCATATTCAAATTGTCGGTTGAATGCGAGTAGCAAAAAAAATGTGTAATAAACTAATAATTCATCTGCAAAATACCGCTTAAGCTTTTAAAAGCATCCAATGAGAATTGTATGCGCACCACTGAGAATGCAAACATGTGTCGAAAAAAAAAACGAAAGAGAGAGGAGAGCAAGAGAGAAAGAGGGAGAAAGCGTGCGTCGTGCTATTAAACAGCTGAAATAAAAGCGAATAAATAAAAATTGTGGCACAAAAATGACGGAATTCCCTGTGTGTACTGGCTGCCGACTGTTCGCCGTGCAGAGTCATCGCGATGGCATTCGACTTCTCTTTCTGATCAACATTGCCATTGTATCTCAAGCACCATCAACATATTTCGTTTTCGATGGGCGCAGTCGAACACACGCAAAAAGCCAACAAAAAATAACACGAATACCAATAACATTTTGGGAAATGGTGTTACGTGAATATATGTGCTTATGACTGGTTTTGTGCGGCTTCCCCGTTGCATGATGAAATTTATGTTAAAAAATGAAAATTTCGTTGCGCCACAGAGACGGAGAGAGAGAGATCCGTATGCAATTGAGCAATGATGCTGTGACACTTTGTGTGCATTTCATTTTTACTTGGATACACATTTTTGTCGATGCTTAACCACGTTTTTTTCCCACAATTTTCATCCGTGTAACTTTCACTCGGTATTTTTGTGTAGCTCTTTGGTTGTTGCCACAGTTTTCGTTCTGTTTTTTTCTTCTCTTGTTGTTGTCATCTCTCTCTCGTTTATCACAGTATCCTTTCATGTTTTTGTCATATTTTCATCACGACAAACAGAGGACGAGAAAAAATATCGCATTTTTTAATAAAATAATAATGATGATAACGGAATCGATAACGATATTCACTGCATTGGCCACTTTTTTTGGAACGTTGGGCTTAAATGCGTGGAAAATATTGCAAAAGCATTGAGCCTTTTTTCCCATTGTGTTATATGCCGACTGGTATTTAAAAATAGAATGAAAAATCGAATATCCATAAAAATGACTTTTACCACAATGTAGCACAAACACAGCCTTTCCATCGACTCGACTCGACTCGACTCGACTCGAGTTCGTGTGTTTTTACGAGCGTTCGAGTTTCATTTATGACTCCGTGTAAACATATTATTTAATGGAATCGCCGACATTTTTTCGAATAATATGATCTAGGGGTATATGACTGGTGAGGGAATTTTTTTTTTCGTTCGTTTTCATTTGAGACGAGAAAGAGAGAGAGAGAGAAAGAATAAAAAACTTGCAATAAAAATATTTTCACCTTTTCGAAGGGTGATTTATATACTAGGTTCTGTTTTCATTTATTCACAACATGGTTGCGCCTTTTTTCCCCGAAATACTGGTGTTATCAACAGTTTACAAAGTGTGAATAGAGATAATCTATGTAAAATAACAAAAACACCGAAAATGTGGCGATTATCGATGAACAAAATACACAAATAGATTTGCAAAAAAGCCGAACGATTGGTCTAGCCCCTCCAAAAAATGATGATAATGATTAATGGTGCATTTTATTTGATTGGTCAATGTATGCATTTCACAAATTACACATATGTGCATGGCAAATGTGTCCATTCGGTTTTGTACCATTCACCGAATTGTGTCAACACTCGCAAATGGGATCGCCTACGAAATTGAATGCTCTGCCTCTTTTTTCAGCCCTCTCTCTCTCTCTCTCTCTCTCTCTCTTTCAATCAGATATATTTTTCACTGTCACATCACATGCAAATCAATGCCATATGCTATGAACTGTTGACAAATTGAAAATTTATGTTAAATGGTTTTAATGAATTCCTTTTTTTTCGGGGACTGGACGAAATAAAATGCCATAATTGAATTATTCAGCTCAATTCGCGGAAATTGATTTCCCACGATGACCATTCAATGAATATTGCAAGATCGTTGAACCGCAAAATGTGAAACAATCAAAGTGACACACGCACAATTGATAAGAGTGTCGGTGACCCAATGACCCAAGGATGCCATGGTCGGAACATAAAACCATTGAAAATTGCTTTAAAGATTTTCAATTCAATTAAACACATCACACGAAACAGATCGACAGATAATCTGCGTCGGCATTTCCATTCAATGTCCGTGTTAGCACGCCATTCAATTCAATTCATTGTTTTTATCATGTGTTAATCGGCTCAATTTATCGATTAAGGTAAATAACTTCTCACACATGTATGTATGTATGTATGTATGTATGTATGTGTGTGTGTGTGTGTATGCGAAATTGAAACCTTTAACCGCGTAATTGATGCTGCAATTTTAACCTTTGGTTAAATTATGTGTCATGCTGTGTGTTGTTTCTGTTGTGCTAACTAAATCTTCTGGAATCGACTTAGCGTAATGAAAATCCATTTATTTACTTTAACGACAACACGCAGCACAGCCCAGTGGAACGGAAAAACGATCCCATTCGAAGCGGAAAAGAAAGCTTAATTTCCCCTTCGCATGAATCGAAAAAGTAACGCAATGCAATGAGATTGTGTTGCTTTTTTCTCTTCCTCTTTTTCTTCCTTTCGCTTGTTATATACACAACAAGATATATGTCAGTCCGTTTCGAATGTCTTTCAGTTTACCATGCACAAGTAGCAAAACAACACGGTACTTATCTGAAATTAGATATCTTAAGGCGACAAGACGAAAATTTACCGCTTCATTACGACCGTAAAAAAGAAGCAATCACCCTCGTTCTCTTCCTCTTTGGAAAATGTTGAACACACGAAAATTGAATGTGAATTGTGTGGATTCTCATCGTTAGAATGGTGTGTTCTTTTTTTGTGCATTGTTCCGTTCTTGCTTTCCGTTGTTGGAAGTCGAACAATGGCGAAGTACGGCGGGAAGGCAGAAGAAAACTATGCGGTTGTTCTACTTGAAAGGTGTTAGGTGCAATTATCAACAGTCGATTATGTTGTAAGAAGCGGCGGTTTGTTTTGCGAATACACTCTTTTCTTTCGCTCTCTTCATTTTAAATGGCCCATTGTATATGCGAAACAAACAGACAGCTGAGACACTCAAGAGCGAATGTGTTTGTATCTCGAGAGAGTTTCAATTGCAACCGGCTGCTGGAATTTTCCCTGAAGCACTTGTCCAAAAGGGGAATCTGGTTTGAAAGCTGTTTCACAGTCATACAATTGCGCATTAACACCATGATTCAAATGTTAGCACATGAAATTATGTGCCATTCTAAAGTGCAACACATACGATGTGTATGTCGTTTGTCATTTAGCCATTAAAACAAAGCCTTTTGCAAATCTCAGCGGTCAATATTCAAATTCACAGAGAAATGGCTGAAAATCGGTGTGAAAATACTTCATGATATGGAAACTGGTCGAAATGGTGGATGAAGAAAATCAGTGTTGAAAAAATTGATCGATCCGTTGAGCCTTTTGTCATGGCAATATTAAAACCGAAGTATTCGTCGTTTAGGTCCTGCCTCGCCAAAGTGTACAGTTCATATCAAACACCGTAGCATTTCACACCGTAAACATTGCATAAGCATAATGTGCATCCTTCGAAAACAGTATACATATTGACATGCCATGCGCTTGTGTGCTATGGACTAGCTTTCGGCGCTGTGAAAAAACCCTTTGTACGGAAAGTAATATTTGGGTAATGGCACGAAATATGCTGGAATTTTCGTTTGGCCTCGACATTTTATCATCAAACGACAGCCAAGATGTATTGCATTTCGAATGTGCAAAGAGCTCTTTCGATGGACTACACTGTGGCTTTGCATGTTCGTTTGAGCGAGTGAAGCGTTTTGTTGTTGGACAACCACGTTGTCGACGTTGGCTGCTTGCATTGCAATTTCATAAATTTCGTTTTGCCTTCTCCAAAAATTGCATGCACCTTGCACTCATTTGTATACACATACACAAACGATGCTTGAGCTACAGTTTAGATGGCAGCCACCAGTAAACAACCGAATGCCAAATAAAGCTCTATCGTCTGTTAATAATAGTGAAGCGAGACGGAGAGACAGCGGTCTATAGGAAAAAGAGTAAGAGAGAGAGAGAGAGAAAGAGAAGCAGAGGAAACGACTTCGTTTGAAATGTGAGCAAAATGAATGCATGCATATTTCAGTATGCCATTGAGCAGCCTGGAACAATGTGTTGCCCGTTGCAAATGCAATTTATAAGCGTGGCGTTTGGTCGGTTAGCGCGTTTAACCTACAAAATGGATAAATTACGTGCAGGAAGGTAAAATTTTAGTACAGTTTGAAAATAACATTTTGAAAACTA